CCCTTCTCCTTCGCCTCTCCAGATACTCCATCCTCCGGCTGATGATCGAGCAAAGGCTGGAGGAGATTTCCGAAGGTCCGACGGCCATGTGAAACGCTTCGACAGCGCCCCGGCTCCGGGTTGCGTCGCACCAAGAGCCGTTTTACCCACGGGACATTACTGTACCGCATCCCAAACTCCCGACATTCCCGGAGCGCTCCCAGGAATCCGCCCGGATCGCTCCAGCTCTGAGCCAACCCATCATCTGCGCAGCATCCTCGGGGAATGTTCCTCCTCTGCAAACGGGATTTTTTTTCCCAGCAAGGCTCTGGCCAGTGGCAGCTCTGGCCAAAACCTCAAATCCTTGGAAATAACAGGGAAAAAAAAAAACAGGGAAAAAAAAAAAGAGGAAATCCGTGAGCAGGGTGAAACCGCCGAGGACGGGGCTGAACAAGGGCTGCAAGCGTTCGGGAGCGAGAATTTGGGGCTCGGTTTGAAGATGCTCTCTTCGGCGCTGCCCGCAGGTGGCTCCCGGCGGAGGACCCGCTGCTCGGTGGCAAGAGAGCACAAATAATTCCTCTTTTTTTTTTTTTTTTTTAAAAAAAAAAGCACATTTCTATTGCAATAATTCGCAGGTGCCGGGAAGCTTTGGTGAATCGATAAGGGTCTGCTGAGAATTGGGGTTTTTTTTAACACTTTTGCTGCCGAAAGGAAACCTGGGGACTGACGGTTGGATTTACAGCGAAAGAGTGAATCGCTTTTTTTCCAACGCATTCCCTTAACCTGCGTCTGGTCGCGTAACCCCCACCTTCCCCCCTTTCTAATTTGCACTAATTTTAGGGATTTTTTTTTTTTTAAGAAAAACCTTAATGTCGAACCTCTCTGGTAGCAGTAACATGCCAAATAGCGCTCGCAGGAATAGTTGACGGCACTGAGCATCTCTCGAGGGATGCTGTACGGATCCGGGGGGGTGGCAGGAGGAGGGGGAGGCAGAAGTAAAGAGGGGTTTTAATTTGCAAATTGGTTTTGCAGCAGTGCCGGCACATTGTCCCGGTGAAACTGGGACTGGGGCTGACTCCATTATCACCATCACACCTGGAAAAAAAACCTCTTTCCTCCCAGGCTAAACCAGCAATATCAATTTTATACCTCGATGTGAACTTACACTCTGACTTGCTCCTTCCCTTGAATTTTTGCGATGTATCTTTGTAATTATTTTTTTTTAATTTTAATGGTACCTTTTCCACCTTTAAAACGTGTTAGGGAAAGTATTGTACAGCGAGAGAAGCTTTTTTATGTATTTGAAGGATGACTTGTGGCATTGCTTCGTTGATTAACAAGAAGACAAAATATGTAGCAACTTAATACAGAGTGAAAACTCCCGAGTTAGAGCCTGGTTTGTTCAAAATAAAGCACTTTGCGGTTAGAAATGCCACCGAAATGGGCTCCGCGTGGGCTGGGAGCGATGAGGGAGAAGAGCAAAACCTGCCCGAAGCCCGGCAGCGAAGTTTCCCGAGGAGAAACGCTCCTGCCCTGCTGTTTTGGAGGCTCACCGTTAAATTGCTGGAGGATTTTTGGGGCTGTTGTAGGATTTATCCAGCCCTTACAGACCATTTATCCCCACGCACTGCGGTCGGCGGGCTCCATCCTCTGGATATTTCCCTTCCAGAAGGTAAAACTCACATCTGGAAGAAAACCCGGCATCACTTAACCTTGTTTTAAACACATTGAGTTTTTAAACCTGATATATTGAGTTTTTCGTCACCTCCTGGAGGGTGAATTCGCTGCATCCCCAAGGTTATCCCCAGCCACGCTTGGCTTTCTCCCCGAATCCGCCGGCCCCGCGTTATCCAGCCCATTGAAGCCCATTTATCCCTCCCCGCGCAGGAGGGGGATACGAGTGACGTTGGCTCCGCTTATCGAAGCTTTATCCGCCAGGAAAAGTCCGATGTGAGTCGAGCCCGGCGGGCACAGACGGGAAGAGCCATCGCCGGCGCGGCCCCGGGTGCACGGGTAAGGGCGGCATCCTCGGCACGGAGTCAAGGGATAAAAAGAGAAGGAATTGGGATAAAAAGAGAAGGAATTGGGTAGATAGCAAGGGGAAAAGTGGTGTGTTTTGGTACGCGCCCGAGCTGGGGGTTGGGATGGGGAAAGCAGCCCGGGGAGGCACCGCATCACTTCGACACCGGCGTTTGCCCCGGGTTGTGATCCATGAGCCCGGATGCTGGAGGGGAAATAAAGAGGGGAAAAATTAAGAAGGGGGGGAAAAAATCCCCACGTCTTAATTTTGGTGAGGTTTCCCACCCGGATTTGCGGCGTTTCCAGCAGCGGCGATGCAGCTGCAAACAGCTGGAAGGGGGACACACGTTTCTCTGGGCTTTTCTTAAAATAAACCGTGTTAGTTGGAGGAGCAGGGCAGCGAAATGAGGCAAATTCAATTAATCAAGCCCTAATTTTTTTTATTTTATTTTTTTTCCAAAGCGCAGGGTTTCGAAGGCCCAGGGGGGGGTCAGGCCTGGCACCTTCTAGCGGGGGCCACGGGAGGGAAACGCTGACACAGGGATGCTGCGGCCGGGGCGGG